ACAGATACTACAAGTCACCGATGGTAGGTTCACCGAAGCACGACACTGTCTTTGTTTCCTCAACACAGTAAGGAAGTTGAACTAAACGGTTGTGTCTGCTGCAGGTGCAGATTTATGAATTGGAGGAACATAAGCTGGAGACATGGAGAGGTCAGGCACATGTTGAATTTTATTATTATTTACTTTAATCTTCAGCGCAGAAGATAAACTAACTTTTGTTTTTTATGTTGTTGTTGTTTTCCAGAGGTCTACCTTCAAGCAACATTCAAACCTCTGGTTAACATATCACCTGATGCAAGGTGTTTACTCAATGAATCTGTGTTGTCAAGGACAAAGTTACAATTCAATGAATTAGTTTGAAAGAATTGTAGATAAGATTTATATAGAACAAAGAACGAACCTAGTGACCAAGGCCTAAAATATTTGATTTTTAACTTAAAGAATCAAATAATATATATATTTCTAAATCATTATTTTATTTCATCAAATTATTATATAATAGGTCTTGTTCCCAATTATGTTCATCTTTTTAGTTAGATTTAGCTGGGCATAAATTCAACCTCACTCAAACATCTGTACAACATAATACTACTACCACACGGTGTTTCTACTTCTGCTTTCATTTTCCAGATTACGAGCAGCAACTTTGTGACTAGCCTTTTTTTTTCTGGTCTGACACAAATGATAAGCTTCTGGGATGAGTCATTTTTTCTGGTTGTTCTTAGTAAACATTAGCCTGATTCGGGTGCAATTCCAAATGAAATACTGATATTTTGAGCATTATTTCTCTCACTGTACCGTGCCTTTTTTTAAACTGGTCCTTGTCTCTTCTACTTGCAGCCTTTTTGACGCCGTCTACACCCTCATCAAAAACAAAATTCACCGCCTGCCTGTCATTGACCCCGTCACAGGGAATGCACTTTATATTCTGACTCACAAGAGGATCCTCAAGTTCCTTCAGCTTTTCGTGAGTTCACCGCAGACATCCTTGAGATAGTTTCGCTCAAGGTCTTTAAGAAATAAATGTAATAAAAATGCTGAATAGTACATTCACACTCTGCTGCCCTCTGGTGTCCCATACTTGTCATGACGTCTGATTTTACATTAGGGGAAATCAGAATAGTAGACGTGCAGTTTTCTCTGGAGTGTTTCTGTTCACCACAGATGCGTGAAATGCCAAAGCCGGCCTTCATGAAGCAGACCCTCTCCGAGCTGGGCATCGGTACGTACCATGACATCGCTTTCATCCACCCAGACACGCCCATCATCAAAGCACTCAACATCTTTGTGGAGAGAAGAGTGTCTGCTCTGCCTGTGGTGGATAATTCTGGTAAGAAGACAAACTGTGAAACCCTCACAAACAAGCTGTAAAAGTCAGAAGAAAAAATGGGACTCATTTCTTCTTTTTTTCTGTCTTTGTACAGGAAAGGTTGTGGACATTTACTCCAAGTTTGATGTAATTGTAAGTACAAGTGTGGCAGCTCTGGTTTCTTAATTATTTTTAACAACAAAATAAAAAACAACACTGTAAAATATAACATTTAAATTATACAACATTATAATCATTAGACTGCATCTCTCCTCCTTAATTCTACGTGGAATTTGGATCATTTCCAGGGTAAATTTATTAAACTTTTTAGCTACAAGCGCAGCTAACCTTTATATTTTTGTAATGTATTTTAGCTACTTTTTTATTATATTTATCTAATTAAAATATTTTATGTTAACTTTTAGATGCTGAGATTTTATTTTTGGCAAATTTATAGCTGTGTGATTCAAATACAATTAATTACCTTTTAGATTTAAAAAAAATCTTTGTGCAGTAGAGACTGAACATATTTTGTTTTTCATGTTTGACTGTTTTTAGCCAATTTGGCTGTGTTTAAGCTAATCCTTGGCTGACATTGTGCCATCTGTTTGAACTTTCTCTCCTGATATTTTCTGTATTCCAACCTTTACTTAAATTCTGTGTATCATTGCGATTAGATTTTCTCTCACACTGGCGGTGCTTCTAATGTTTCTGTGTAGAACTTGGCTGCTGAGAAGACATACAACAACCTGGACAACACAGTGACACAGGCTCTGAAGCATCGCTCACAGTACTTTGAAGGCGTCGTCAAGTGCAACAAAATGGAAACCATGGAGACCATCGTGAACAGAATAGTCAAAGCTGAGGTGAGTTTGTGACTCACGTTGACGTGCGGTGCGCTACACACTGGGACAACCATTTGTTTACTAGTTCACCTCTTTTATTCCAGGTACACCGGTTAGTGGTGGTGGACGAGCACGCAAGCATCGAGGGCATCGTCTCCCTGTCGGACATCCTCCAGGCTCTGGTGCTCAGCCCCACAGGTATAGATGCTCAGCATTGGTAGCACCACTCACCCTTCTGTCCCGGACTTTGAGTTCTCTCCCCCCTCCTGCCCTGTAATTTTGTCCCAGGTAGGAAACATGCAAAGTTTTGCAGGTGTCTGGCTGTGTCCGTCAACCTTTTTTGTACGGCTGGAAAAGGTTGCTCCTCTGTGTGCAGCGGGGTTGCGTGAATCTTTGTTTCAGGAAAAAGAACTTGTCAAACAGCAGACCTGAAATAGATCGCCTGTTTATAGAAACACCTTCACAGTGTGTTTGTACTGGACATCCTTTACTAAAAGTTCAGTATTATTACATGGACATTTCCTGCTCTAATATACTGTATACTCATCTTGCCTTTTTCTGGTCAGAAACTCTGCTTCAATGCAAATGCTTTGTGATAATGTGCTTAAAGGCAAAGGTAAAATGTTTGCATAAATGCAAAAAAGAAAAAAGAACCAGACACACACCTGTCTAACTTTCCCAGTTTTATTGACTTGTCTCTGGTTGAACTCTATATGTTTTTGCACCAACGCAGTCTCCGTTGTTGCTCTGAGAACTTTTTGTCTACTCCGCTGTCTCAGTGGCGTCCCCAGGGGCTGACGCTGAAAGCCTCAGAAAAAGGAATGGAGCTTGATTTTTCTAAAAACAGGAAGTGCCATTTAGAAACTATTTATTAATGTTTACGTTGGGTTTTTTTCTCCTGAAGATTTCAAGCTTTTAAAATGGGAGATTTGAAAAAGTTTTACATTTTATCTTTATATTCTGTAATAGACATCTGCTCAACATCAGATACATTTCCCCCATAACTAGTTGACTAAATCAACTGCTGAAGTTTGGTTCAACTAATAATGAAACGAGTGAATGGACCAAAGTCAGAGTTTATTATTGTTTGTCCTCTTTTGTCTTTTCCTCTTCTCTTCTCCAGAAGCCTCCAAGGAGGAAAACCTGACCATGTATGAGGGAGGCAGCGTAAGCAATAGTGGAAACCTGGTGGGAGAGACTGCAGGGAAGTCCACTGGCTGAGATGATGTGAGGACGACTAGCACCTGTGTGAAGGTTCAGGGAGGAGACGTCTGCAACAGATGCACTATAGAGGCTTGGAAACCAAAGAGCTAGAGGAAGGGAGTGAAGAGGAGTCCCTGCACTGAGGGGTTTTTCAGATTTGGTTTGCTTTGTTTTTGTGTTTGAACACTGATCAGACAGACACGAGTACATAGATCTATAGATAGATACACATTAGTGATCCCAGGCTGAAAGATTAAAGTGGAGCAGCAGCATCACATACACAGACAATAATAACAATGAAGTAATAAGAGGAAGCACAACTTAGACATATTAAGCTATAATGAAACGCAAAAAGATGTGTATAAAATGTATAGATAAGCAGTACAAACTGTATTGGTAAAATGTGTAGATGGACAGATGAGCCCCAAGTATAAAAATGTACAGTATAAAATAAATATGTATATATATAAGCAGTGTCGATTGTAGTGCAGGAAAAGACATGAGGTGAAGTGAATAGTTGTGCATACAGCTGTGTAAAGTGCGTAGAGGAAACTAAGATTATGACCATCACACTGTATACAATACGCACACACTCCCTACAGACACAGGTGCATGTTGGGTATCTGCCGGTGTTTTCAGTGGGAACACTGAGACAGGTTCTCATGAATTAGGGCTTTAGATAAATGTATATCTACAACCTCGCTGCTGTAATCGGTCGCTTTAAGTCATTGTTTGACACTGAAGCAGGAAAATGCACCGGCTTTTAAAAGTTCACTGAGGCAGACGTCACAGTTTGATTTAAAACTGCAATTTACTAACGCCGTGGCCGTTTTATGACTGTTAAAACGATGGGTTTCCTGCGCCAACGTTTATCTCCATGTCCTTTTATCGCCCTATTAGTGCCTTTTGGTTTGGTCTGACAGCAATTCTGATGCTTTACATTAAAAAATAGTAGTATTTGTGATTGAGTAACTGGTGACATTAAAATGTAATGTTTTTTTCATTTTGGAAAATCATAAACACAACATCAGGTTTTATTATCTGTGTCTCTCACTGAAGTCATATCAAGAATTGAATCATTGATACTTGAATATGTTAAATAGACTCTACATTAAAAGATGAATCAAAGTGAAAAAAAAGAATTACATCTCCAGTCTGAATCCACATTTAAATCTACAACAAAATCTGAAAATTCTAACAAAATCTGTTCTTGGATTTTGTTCATAATGATTTTAGGGAACACATCTGTCATCTAGTCACCTTGACTTTAAAGATGCATGTAAGTAACAGTGAAGCTGAAAAAATTTCGAATGTCAATGTTGTTTTGTGGCTTCACTTAAGTAGACTCTCACAAACATGACATACCTGGTTTTCTCGGCGGTAGCTCAACTGGACTCGTCTCCATCTCCCACTGTATATACTGTATGTTGTTTATTTTTATTTTTCAGGGGGAAAGAATCACAGAAAGCTTTATTTTTATGAAGGTGTCGACTTGTGGAGAGACTGCAGTTTTATTGTTATTTTTGTAAATATTTGTTGGCAACATG